CTGTCTTCTTAACAGACTCACCCAGGGACTCTGCCTTAGCTGGTCCAGGAGTCTTGCATGAAGGATGAGGAAGGCTGCTGGTCATCAGCCTTGCTTTCCTGAGCTCTACTTGCCTACTGCCTTCAGAACCCAGCTTAACTCAGGCCGTTAAGTTTGGGCCATAATGTGCCCCCCATCTATGTTTCATGAAGAGAAACCTGGGAATTGTATCATATGCTCTGCCTTTCCTCTCGAGCATGGCAGTCCGTGTTCAACCTCTCTTCTGGGTCTGTCAGTGACAAATGCATAAGAGGCCACCTTATTCTAAGTGGCCCCATCTGTGGGGAACCAGAGAGACGCCTGTGTATTCATGAGGGACAAGCACTTTACAAGTGCACAGCGCAGTCTACCACAGGGTGGTTCGTGTCAGTCGTTGAAGTAGTCCTAGGAGGACTAGCGTACAAACGGCCCAGGGAGAAACTACAGCTAAGGGCAGAGCAATTTTTTCAACTCGCGTAAAAAAATTGACATAACTAAGAGAAGGGGTAAACTCTTAGTTGGTACGATGCTGAGATAGCGTTAACCAAGTCACTTGTAGAAGGCCGTGGGCCCGTGAGAGGACAGCTAGGGGAGTCCAGGTTAACCCTCAGTCCTGACTGAGACGACAGCTAGGGGAGCCCAGGTTAACCCTCAGTCCTGACTGAGAGGACAGCTAGGGGAGCCCAGGTTAACCCTCAGTCCTGACTGAGACGACAGCTAGGGGAGCCCAGGTTAACCCTCAGTCCTGGTTTTTCCCAACATCCTCCTTTCCTAAGGCAAGGCAACTGGAGAACCCATCTCAACAGTCCCACTAAGAGCTGCCTTTCATGTATAGGCACCTCCTTGAAAAAATGCAGAGACCATTTCTAAGGTGATAGAATGCACTGGGTTCTGTGGCTTTCAAAAGACGTAGATGAGCCAGGTCTGGTGGTGAATTCCTTTCATCCCAGCAGAGATAGTTAGATAGCTGTGTGAATTTAAGACCAGCCTAGGTGATGTAGAGAATTCCAGGCCAGTCAGGGAGAGAGAGAGAGAGAGAGAGAGAGAGAGAGAGAGAAATATTCCGTCCCCACATTGATTGACTTCAGACCCAGAGAGCTCTCTTTCTGTGTTCTCGTTCTGAAGCATGACTTCTTCCCTGTGAGACTAGGGGAACTTCCACGCCTGCTCAGGTGTAATGGAGAAGCTGCACTACGCCAGCCTCCTCAGCCGGCTGCAGAGAGTGAAGGAGCAGGCCCAGGTGATCAATCAAGCAATGGCAGAGCTGGCAACCGTCCCTTATCTCCAGGACATCAGTCAACAGGAGGCAGAATTGGTAAGTATTTGTTTCTCTCTGTTTAAGCTTTCACAGGCCCCGAGCCAGCAGAAGACGGATAGGGGCTGAAAAGGCTTGTGGTAATAGATGGTGTCGGAAGGGAGACGCGGGCCTCGTCCCGCATTCAGATGGAGACACTGGGAGATGGGAGCAGTCTGGAGCTCCATGGTCACTTTCCTTTTCCTGTCTTCCTCCCTGCCTCCCTGCCTCCCTGCCTCCCCCTCCCTTTCCTCTTTCTTTCTCCCTTTGTTTCTTTCTTTCCCTTTCTCCCTTTCTATATAGCAAGAACGTTGTAATGTGTAAAAGCATAGGAAAGGGCTAATTATTCAATTTACATATAAAGCTTTTTGCTTCAATTAAAATGAAAGTATGGGTACATGTGTGTGTGCATGTGTATGCGTGTGCATGCAGAGGCCAGAGGACAAGCTTAGCCGTCTTGCCTTTGCTCAGGCACCTGCCACCATTTGTTTTTACACAGGATTGCTCACAAGTCCAGAGCTCACCAAGTAGGCTAGCCTGGCCTAGCCATGGAGCCCCAGGGAGACACCTGCTTCCACTTTCCCAGCTCTGAGATGACAAACACTGTTTACCAGGCCAAGCTGTTTCTTTTCTTTGACATGGCTTCTAATGATCAAGTTCAAGTTCTCATGCTTGTGGGATGAAGCACTTTAGCAACTGAGCCATCTCTCCACCCCAGATGAAATTCTAATCAATGGTCTCTAAAACCCCAAGATGATCTTGTATGGTCCTCTTCCGTAGAAGAGGCAGGAGAGCAAAGCACTTATCTATATAAAAACACCACCCTACAAAATGTCCCTAAGTGTAGGTCTCCTGCAGCATTACCATACACAGTGATAGACTCAGGAAAAGTTTGAGAGAAAAGTGTGTGTGTGTGTGTGTGTGTGTGTGTGTGTGTGTTGTGTGTGTGTATTTTTTTAACTAAATACATTCAGGAAACCAGACATTTTATTCTCGCACAGACCAAGTCAAAAACTACTTAAAGAAACAGCTTAGAAACAATCTTCAAACAGATGTGTGTTTTATACTCATAATTAATATTAGAAATCATACCACCTCATTTGAAAAGTAATTATTGAACAGTGTGCTGCCCATTCAAGGAGAGGTCTGGAGAGCCTAACGTGTCCTAGGGAAGGGCTCTTTCCTTTGAAGCTTTAATTGAGAGTAGCTAAAACTAATTATAGACTTGAATTGAATTCACAGCACAAGGATGAGACCATCCCAAACTGATTACCTGTAATTTCCAGATAACTAAAGGAACCCTCCCTCTTTGAGCTTTTACAGACGTAACCAAGAAATGAGCTTCTAGCATTCATATATTTATCTAGACTTTTTTTAAAGTTTGTTAAATAAATGCTGATATTCAGAGTAATGTTGTCAAACAGTCTGCCAAGCCCAGTGATAACGCAATGCATTCTAAAGATGAACCCCATGAAATAAGCCTGCTGTTCACGGAATCTGTAAGTCAAAACGTGCTAATCCTGTCTGACCCATCATGGCGGTGTGCAGAAGAATGGCTTTTAAAAGGCGCTGTGTTCATCCTGCCATTCATGAGGCATTCAACAGTGTGCTAAGTGTGATGCTTTCAAAGGGCATATTATAACCAATTTTAGATGATTAATGTGCCTGTAAGATAAGAGAAGCAAAAGAAATGTTAATTTGGAATGGAAAATCTTGACCCTGTCTTCCTAAAACGCATATTCAAGACATAAGTAAGAAAACTCCAGAGGAATTCTCTGCTTGTAAGTCTCTTGAGCCACACCCCTTTGGGGTTTCCTCCCCCAAGAAATGCCTATATTTCAAAATATGCACAAAGGGCTCAAAACCAACATCACTGAAATGCCTTCCTAACGTATGTATAATTTTTGCAGTAGCTTATGCTTTAGAAAATGGTATTTCATGGGATGATTTTATATTGTATACACTCCCAAAATTTAGAAAGATAGATGGGCAGACATATTGATAGATGATAGACCGACACTATCAAACAGATGTGCGGTTACAGCCCCGACATTTGAACAGTCTGTATTGTAGAAGGTTTCGTCACATTATGCAATAGATTTTACTTTCCAGTTTTCCAAGTATGGGTTAACCTTAAAAAGTAAATCCCAACCTGACCTTGTAGGGCACCATGGGGACAGCGGTGGCTCAACAGAAGCCTCATGAGTGACTCTGCTCGCCGCCTTGCTGATGAAACCCTACGGCACCAGAAGCCATCTAATGGTTAGCCTTCAGTCTCACATGTTCTGACCCAGCCCACACATGCACCACGTGATAGAATTTGTTACTAGTTTCTGGCTCAGTGGAGCTTTGAACTTGGGATCCTCCTGCCTCAGCCTCCCCATTGCTGTGACTATACTGACTTTGTCTGTTTCTTCTGAGATGCAGTCTCACATAGACCATGCTGGAAACTCTCTACTACCCAAGGCTGATCTTGAGCTCACAATTCTCCTGCCTCCACCTACCAAGTTCTAGGACGGCAGGCATGCACTGCCAGTCCCAGCCCATCATATTATTTTCAGTTGGAATATAGCAAATGGCTTTTATTGTTGTAGGCAAAGTGTGCCATTTCAAAGGGACCTTTAAAAAAGAAGAAGAAGAAAATTAGTTATTTCAAATTTTTTAACAACAGTAAAAGAGTTTAAATGAACAAGAGTCTTTTAAGAGGCAATGAAACAGTGCAGCTTTAGTACCGTCCTCCGGAGAGCTTTTTCATGATGCCGAGAATTATGATACATTAGCCTCAGGAGAAAACACTGAAACACATTCATGTACTACATGGCGTTTCCTGAGAGAATTAACTGCTGCCGTCACCCTTTACAGTCCAAATCTGCTTTAGCAAAACATCAGCACTTACTACATTAAACCCTAGATGCTTCCTACAAATTTGGAGGAAGAATCTTTCCATTGTTTCGATATTTTATGTGTACAGCAATGCTCAGTTATGACTGAAGCAGCATCGAGGTGATGGTATTCATCGTGGGGAATATGAGCAATAAAATGATCAGCGTACAAATGATTTTTTAATTAGGTTTTAATCTGTGTGTTTAGAGAAGTTACTTCCGTGTGAATTCCATGCTGATAATTCTTATCTTGGTATCACAGCTGCAGTCGCTAATGGCAGACGCCATGGACACCCTTGAAGGAAGAAAGAGTGACAAAGAGCGTGTGTGGAATACAATCCAAAAGGTAAAACTCTGAGCCGAAGGAAAAATGCATCCTTTCCTCAGAGAAAATGTCCACATTGGGTCAAGTCTGCTTAGGAGATAAACAAGAGAGGAAAGCAGTCCCTGGGGTGGCTTTTGGTCTGCCTTCTCTGTGAAGTGAATGCACTGGAAAGAACTAGAAATGCAAGCAAAACCAGCGACAGATTTGTTTAACTTGTCAGCACGCACTGTGGTCCTCATGCCCTCCAGCCTTCCTGACCACGATCCTTTTCATTTTCAATTTAAACCATCTGCTTCTTCCTTATTTGTAATGGTATTTTGAAATCCTTTTCCTTGGAATTTTCACTGATTTTTTAACTGCTTTTTTGTCTTTGTCTTTGTTTTTATTTTTGTTTGTTTGTTTATCTGTCAATCACTTGGGAAACACATCCTGGCTCCGGCTCCATGATCTTGCACTTTGGTAGGGGATACTTTTGGGATAAGGTTTCGTCACTGATGATCAGGACAGCATTCACGGGTTGTCCCCAGGTCCTGAGAGACTTGTGTGACACTGTAGAACTGTCTGGAAGAGTTGGCAATGCTTACCTCCAGCTTTCTCCTGGGTAATACCTTCTGATTGCTCTACTTCCCATTCATTCTTCTCCCATCCCGCTGTGGAGCCTGAGATCAGGAAACAAAAGGAACGAAACAAAGAAGGCATCAGTCAATCCATCCGGGAGGGACTCTCGGATGGAATCTGAATCTGAGGAGACCTGTGCTCTGAAATCAACTTGAAACTCTGAAAATATACATGAGAAACAAAATCCACAGAATTCATAGATGTTTGAGTATCAGGGCTACCTTGCTGGGCAGGAACAGTTCGACTATATGAATGGCTGTGAACAACATGCTTTTATAACTTGTAGCAACAAATGAGAATGGCCTGGCCTGGGAGATCAGAGATCAGGAGACCAGCTTTATGATTGCGGTATTTTTAGAACATTCAAAAATTAATGGTCACTACCCAGGTGAAGGAGAAATTTGGAAGGTAGGGAATACCTTACTTGGTAAAGGGCTTGAGTATGTGGGCAGGACAACTCCCAGATCTCACATTAGAGACAAACAAACAAACAAAAAACCCAGCCCTTTGTGGTGGTGAACACTTGTTACCCGGGGGAGGAGAGGTGGAGACAGGCAGGTCCCTGGGACTCCGAGACTGTCCAGTCTAGCTTACTTTGTGAGCCTCAAATCACTGAAGGGCCCTGTCTGCCTCCCAAATCTGTGCTGGCACCTGAAGAATGGTACCCAAGGTTGTCCCCTGACCACCACATGCCTACACACACATACACACAAATTTTCCAAACAGGGTGAAAAACATGCGCCAAGAATACAGAGAAATCAGGAGTATTTGTTTCGGGGGCTCACTTACAGTTTCAGAGGGTTAGTCCATGATCACCATGACAGAAAGCATGGTGGCAGGCAGGAAGCCATGATGCTGATCTGCAGGTGGACAGAGAGAGACCGACTCAGCCTGTCAAGGGCTTTTGAAACCTCAAGGCCCAACCCCAGTGGCACACCTCCAGCAAGGCCACACTGTAAATTTAATTCTTTCCAAACAGTTCCACTAACTAGTGAATAAGTATTCAGACATATGAGCCAATATAGGGCCATTCGCATTCAACCACCTGACAGTCGGGAACATGGCAGCAGACAGGAAGGCATGGGCTGGGACAGCAGCTGAGAGCTCACATCCTGATCCACAGACAGGAAGCAGCGAGCACGTACTCAGAATGGCAGGAGTCTTTCGAAACCTCAGTCTGCCCCCAGTGTGGTGGCTATTCTTAGCTATCAACTTGATTACTTCTGGAGTTAACTATAACCCAAAACCAAAGGACACACCTCACCTGGGAGGATTCCTGCTTAATGTGAAGTAGGGAGATCTACTTCTAATCTGGATCTTTGCAGTAGGAAGACACACCTTTAATCCAGATGTTTAACCCAGATCTAATCTTGGCCACATCTTCTGCTGGAAGCCTATATAAGGACATGAGCAAAGGAAACTTTGGCGCTGTTCCTGCTTCTTCCTACCCCACTAGCAAGTCCATTCCTTCACTGGCATCGCACCTACCTCTTTGGAATTCTAGGGAGACAAAGTGAGACATCCAGCCTCATGGTCTGAGTGACTACAGGATTCTTGGACTTTCCATTCACAGCCAGTCATTGTTGGATTAGCTGGGCATAGCCTGTAAATCATTCTAATAAATCCCTTTTTCATATCTGTGTATTATACATTATATATAGCTATATTATGAGTCATTCTATAAGTTCTGTTATTCTAGATAGCCCTAACTATTACACCCCAGAGACATACCTCCTCCCACAAAGCCATACCTCCTAATTCTTCCCAAACAATTCTACCAACTGAGTACTAAGTATTCAAATATTTGAGCTTCTGAGAACCATTCTTATTCAAAGCATCACAGCAAGCATATCTGCAAGCAAAACCCTCAACATAAAGAAAAATAAAGAATGGTACCAAGATGGTTGCTTGAGCAAAGAGGCGGGGCTAGAGAGAGGCCTTCTGAGGCCTTTTACCAAGGAAAGAACCTGTCACATGGGAAGCTTTTGGCTAAGAACGTAAACTGCGCAAGAAGGAGACGCCACACCAGGGAGCTGAGTGAGAATTTAATAGAAGAGGTAAAGGCACTTGCTGCCCAGGCTGACAGCCTGAGTTCAATTTCAGGGAGTTGCATGGTGGAAAAGGAGAACTGACTCCTGTGAACACCACATGCATGTCATGGTACATGTGTGTGCAGAGGCAGTTGCACACATGTGTCATGGTACGTGTGTGCACAGAGGTGGGTGCACACACATGTCATGGTACATGTGTGTGCAGAGGCGGTTGCACACATGTGTCATGGTACGTGTGTGCACAGAGGCGGGTGCACACACATGTCATTGTACATGTGTGTGCAGAGGCGGTTGCACACGTGTGTCATGGTACATGTGTGTGCAGAGGCGATTGCGCACACATGTCATGGTACATGTGTGTGCAGAGGCAGGTGGAGTGGGGTACGAGAGAGTGCAGAGGGAGAGAGAGAGAAATGCAATTTTTAAAAGAATAACTATGAATTTGTTAATTAAGAAACGGACAAGGTAAGGGAGAAAATAAAGAAAATCAGTACCATCCCCTTGAGCTGGAGATTCAAGAGAAGAGTTGCAGAGACGAATTCTGAGAAGTTTTCATTAGAAATCTGTTAAGGTGCCGCTCTGTCACTCCTGGATGTCTGAAGGAGAAGGGGGGTCAAGAAGGGTTGGACACAGAACTTTGAGGAGGATCCGCTAAGCCACAGATAAGTGAAGTGACGAGGGGGCTCAATGAACTTGGAGGAATTCTGTAGCTTCTGGAAAAACTAGCCTCAGAAATGGCGTGTGTTTCTGTACTGGGGATGGTTTTTCTGAAGAGGTGCTCACAGGAAAACAGCAGCAAATGGAAGGCAGAGAGGCAGGAGTGGGCGAGCGTCTCCTGTTGACACAGACTAACAGCTGGCAAAGCAGAGACGGGGTGTGCAGAGAATGAACCCTCCTGTCACAACTGCCATAAGAAGTGGGCTTCGAGTAAAGAGAATACACGTGTAGAATGGAGTGCACTGACCCTGGGTGCTGTCGAGTTGCCCACGAGAAATATGGAGCCTCATGTTCTTGATAAACACTGAATGAAGGTGACAAGGGATAGGAGAAAGGGGGAAGACAAGAAGGAAGGAGGTGTCAGTCACGCCTTACTCCAGAGGTGTAAGTTTCTAGACCCTTGGCCAGGTAATAGTCATGCAATCATCTGTGTGGCTGGCACTGCTAAGGGAGACCATATAAAGAGAAAAGGGAATTGTGAAGGGCACACTTCATACTGCCGAAGAGAAACCTGCGCAGGAGAGCAAGGACTCGCAGAGAGAATTCGAGCTGGAGGGAAGGAAACTCAATACTGAAGAGTCAGCAGCATCACCAGCAGTTTCCCCTGGCTATACCAATAGCTTTAGAACAGGGATCAGCAGGCCACACGCTGCAGATCGCATCCAGCACAGCACCCGTTTCTGTAGTGAAGTCCATTGTCACAGCCCTGCCGTTCATTTACATGTGGTCTGGGTCAACCTGGCCACGGTAATGACTCAGTCAAAGCTGTCTAGCTGCATCAAGTTTCCAACAGTACACCTCCCAGAAATATGTGCATCCTCTGTAAATGTAAATATTTACAATGACAAATCCAAGTATTCACAGAGCCACACCCCAATGAGTAAACCCTAGGGCCAGGCCAGAAAGGGGAAAGAGAGATAACATCTTTCTGTGTCTTTTGAAAATGCTTCGTGCAGATTCTAATACAAGAATGAGTATTGGGGCTGGAGAGATGGCTAAGTGGTTAAAAGCACTGTTTGATCTTCCAGAGGATCGGAGTTCACTTCCCAGTACCCACATGGCAGCTTACAACTGTCTTTAATTCCAGTTCCAGAGGACCTAACACCCATAGAAAAATACCAATGTACATAAAATAAAAATAAATAAATTTTAAAAAAAGAAAAGAAAATGCTTCTTGCACTTGGCCATGAGCTACTCTCATGGTACCTGTGTTCATGGGCATGCCTAGCCTGTTGTTTCTTACTTTGTTCCTACATCAGCTGTCTGTGCTGTGTAACAAACAACCCTAAGTACAGCGAATTAAAAAGCAAAAACAAAAAACTATTGTCTCTCAGACCAATACACTGATCAGACTCTATGGCAGTTCTCCCACCTAATTCAACCTTACAGCATGTGCACATAGGTTTGTGAAGGTTCCAAGAAGGCTGTCTCACGTCCTCACAGCTCACACTGGTCCACGGAGACAGTTGCCTGCACATAGGTCTCCTGTGTGAAATGGTCTTCAAGATGGCATTTAACTTGGTGCCAAGAGAACAGTCTAAGAGAAGGAAGTGAATGCATTCGGTCTTTAAGAGTAACTGTCTTTCTACATCACCGTCTGCCATACTGTGCTGAAGGAAACAGTCACAGGCCAGCCTAGACATAAATGGTAGGAAGAACAGATTTCACTACCAAGGAGATGATGGTGAGCATCTCAGAGACGAGGCACAGCAGCGGAGGGACTCTGTATCCTGGGCTGGAAAGCATACCTTCAAGCACACAGGAGTCAGGCAGACAGTGAAGTCCAGGCCCCCTCACTACACACCCAACCAGCGGGCGGGCATCTAGAAAGACTGGCTGGTAAGCAGCCAGTCTTTCCAAATCAAAAGCCCCAGCAATGGCTGTGGCTTTCTAAATAGAAGCCCCTGAGAGATCTTTAGGAAGATGCGAACGGGAAAGAGCAGGGTGCCAAATTCTTCCCAAGGGCTTTTAATTTGGCTAATGCGCCTCTCCAGAGGATGATGGCATCACTCTCAGACAATTCCAGTAGCAAGTAAGTAATTTCCTTTTACTGCTACAGAGTTAATTTGTGTGTGCAGGAAAAAAAAATAATTAAAAAAAAGCCCTAGTTGAACAAGCTGCACTGTGCAGTGAGCTCACTGGAAGTTCCTATCAGCCTCGCCACCTCTGAGATCTGTTATCTGGAATAGAGACAGCTGTTGTACCTAATGAAAACACTTGAAATTTTCATCTGAAGCAGCAGAATTATGGCAGAAGCGGCTCATTCTGCACAGTTAAAGGGTCTGTCAGAATCCCCATTGCCTCACAGTTTCCTGGGCTCCACGTTGTTATAGGTCTATAAAAAACAACAACAACAACAACAACCAGACAAACTCACCACGCTGCTATGCTGCTCCCCGACTCCTGAGCACTGAGCTCCTGGCTGTGCTTTGTCTCCTCTGGTTCCCCAGAAACAACCGTGTTGGCCCCCACTCCCTGAATTCAAACACATTCTTCACAGAGTCCCAGGGGAGTGATGGTGGTTTGAGACTGACTCTGTAAAGTAGTTATTTCCAGTAACTATGTCAAGATTAAGCTACATTATTGCTGGTTTAGTGATGCAAATACAAAACTGGGCAAGTTACATTTTAAAAAGAGCGGGGATTTTCTTATGTCGGAATGTCCCATCTACGGTGTGGTTAAGACCATCACACTTTGCTCACTCTGATTCTGTAACAGCACTGCCTGGGGAGGAACATTGTTTCGAACATCCCGCTAAAATCTCTCTGACACCTTCCTCATTCAAGTGAAGAGCAAAATATCCCCTTGGTTTCCATTCTCTCAGACATCGTCCTGGATCTTCGAGACTCATTCCTGAAAAATCGGTGCCCTCTTACTATCTGCAGCCTACTTAAGCAGGCAATAAATCACCTAAAACTATAGAATATGTTATAGGGCAACATGGTGGGGTATGATAGGAAAATGGAAGGTGTCAAATACAGAAGAAAATCGTGCCTATCGTGGACAGAACTCGTTTTAGTACGGGAAGCAGCAAGCGTGAGACACTAAGGTGGATGGGGTGTGCGCTCCCAGTTATCAGTGATCAGCTATGGTAAATCCTGCGTAATAAATCGACTACTGAGAAACGGTGTGAAAGAAGATAGAGCGCTTTATTAAAAGCAAACACATTTGAAAGCTGCCAGGAGAGCAGGCTGAAGGAGCAAAGGACTCGCAAGGCATCGTAGTCGCTTTCTGAGCGCAGTGATGAGCACCAGGGCCAAGGCAGCTTACAGAAGAAAGAGTTTATGGGGGTGCTAACAGTTTCAGAGGCTGAGTCCATAGCCTTCCTGGCAGGGAGACTGGCAGCAGGCATTGGTGCTGGTGCTACGCCTGAGGGCTAACACGCTTATCCACCAGTAGGGGGCAGACAGAGGCAGACACACCTCCCACAAGGCCACACCGCCTAATCCTTCTCAATCAACTCTACCAAATAGGAATCAAATAGTAGTCTGTGGAAGCCATTCTTATGCAAACCACCATCCCAGGAAAGGTTATTACAGCGATCCAGGAGAGGAAAGGGAATCCCAAGCCTCAAGTTCAGGTGGGAACAAGGCGAGCTTTCATCTTCTCCTCAGAAGGCAATGGTATTTAAAGAGAGACCAGTGCACAAAAGAAACACAATTGCTGCCTGTGTTGCTCCTCTGGAAGCTGGGACTGGAGCACGTTAAGGGGTGGGATTTATTTTGTCTGACGATCTGAGAGTACCAACCATCCTGGAGGGGAAGGATGGCGGCAGAAGTATGGGTGGTTAGACACACTGTGTCCACAGTCAGAGACTGAGAGAGGTACGCTGGTG